ACGCAAGTAGCGCTGCTACTTAGAGCTCGCAATACGGTATGTATGGCAGAAGGTCATTCGTCACTGACGGACACTCATCTCGGCTGTTCATCCTAGGATTTCTGACTGAAATCCAAAACGCCTCTAACGCCTTCCTTGCCGAAATTTCCGTCTCCTGCGCCAATATCGTACACACTTGATTTCAAAGTGTTGGGCCGTCATGCTCCTCAGATTTATCCTGCCAAGCGCTGTGTGAGCTTCTGCACTGTCCATAAACCAGCTGTTGCGTCGTTACGTTCGATATACCAACGCTAACAGTCTCTCTGGATATATGTGCGTCCACACGCCGCCAGACATTCTATTTGGTAGATCACACCCGATTTAGCGCAAACACCGAGTCTGCCGTGTGGACAAATAACACAATCTCTAGATATGCACTGTTTATCGTATAGCCTGTTTCGAACCAGTTGCTGCTTGATGTTGCAGCTGGGGATGTTAACCAACTGAACAACATCTTGCAACTGTGCCCTAACAATGCTTCGTTGTATTGCAGTGCTTATCGTATCGGAGATAAAAGGAAGGCATAGCGGTAGTTTGTTTGGACGCGGGCCTTCTCGCATATTAGAGCGCTGTCTTCCAGTGTGTTGTGGTACCGTATGACCGTACACAGCAGCTATCTCTCGACGCGATTCTTGACGTTCAGCTTCGCCTGTGCACATACTCGTTGCTGTTCTCAGCATGTTGTTAATAAGTGCACGTTTAACAGCTTGTGGATGAGCAGGAATAGCGTGGAGCAAGATATTCTTCGACTGGCTTTATCGGCGTACCCACTTCACGCTGAAAGTGCCACTATACTCTCCTCATCATTACGGACTGTCGGGGCGGGTCAGTGCGGCTGCGTTTTCCGCGGTGCCAAAGTCTTTCTGCACCAGTTGTTGAAGTGGGGGGGTGGGGGGGGGGTAGCAAATGACATGACAGCATTATATCCTTCGTATTACTCGTTTTCTACCACTTTTTGTCGCATACGCGTTTCAACGAAAAGGCTGAGAACGGCTTCAAACAGTGTGCGGCCCACTCACTAACTGGCTGATACCATCCGCGACAGTCCGCGTAATGAAAAGGAGAGTACTTTTACTTGCGTGTTGAGGTAAGGAAGCCAACCGTCATGTGGTGTTTCTCGTGTGAGTCTAATGTACTGCGACTGCTCATTCATTATCCGGAAACACTCGTCCATTTCGGACTGTGTTGACGTTATAATGAAACAGTCGTCGATGTATCTGCAGTACATTATCGGATGACGTAGTAGCACTGGTTCTTCAATCCTGCCCATGAAGCAAACAGCGAGAACCGGTGCTAGTCGTTGACCCATGGCCAGGCCTCTTACTTGTGAAAAGTATGTTCCTGCCCATTTGAAGATGTTGCAGCCTAGGCACTCCTTGACCAACGTTATTATGTGCACTTTACTGAGCCCAAATGTTGTGTATACTGCCAGCATGCCTATCCAGCATTTCGGACAATGCCTGTAAGGCCTGCTCGTTTTGGACATTGGTGTAAAGTGAAACAACGTCGAAAGATTCAATCACAGGCTACGCCCCGAGTCGAAGACGCGTAATATATTCAAGGGAAACTGTCTAGTGTTGACAGGAACCAACGGTCAACAGTTGACCCACAATGCTGTTCAGAAACCACGAAATTCTATCTGTTGGTCCCCCTACACAACTTGCGTCTCCTCACTTCTAGAGGTGTCAGAAGACGCTATAGTAAGTCTCATTCTCTACTAACTACTAGCCGCATGTGACTGCGGATATACGGTGGAACCTTGGTGAGTGCACTATTCGTGTTGTGGGGCCTTTGGGTTGAGTTCCGAAACACGCGCCACCGAACTGAGAGTTGGTTGGGCGCTTAGTAAGGTAGTGTTCATTTCCTAACCTCGAAACGCGTTTCTGAAGTAGACGACCAAGTCGAAACGTTAGGCCGTAAAATAAAGATTTCTACCCTAAGAGCCTCGAGTGGCTTAGCAATACAAACAGAATAAACAACGATGCCGAGTTTACAACAAGAGAGAACTTGGAGAATGACTCAGGTGTATTTGGAAGCTGCTATCCGTCTCACACCCTCTTTACCCGTATTGAATGACTTGTCACTATCCTGTCCGTCACGCCCACTCCCTCCGTTTAAAATGCAGTTGAAGTCCTCCGCTTTTGCAACGCAGTTGAAGGGATGTGGCTCCAATGAACTGCACAAATGGGCTGAGACTAGTGCAGTTGGGATTTGAGACGGTCGCATCATCACCCTTAGGCCAACTTGGGGATGTCTGGCCAGCGCTGAAACCTTGCCTGTCACGTTTTCTCTTTAGCATTGGACTTGATGAGGGTTGTTTCGCAGGTAGTCCACGTTTTGTGCAGTTTTGGGCAAGTTTACGAAACACCATATAAGACAAACTGTACACTCATACTCTAAGATTCTTTGTCTTCGCTAATGCTGGAGAGAAGCGAACTGCACAGTAGCGTGGCCGCTTTTACACGCTTACAAGTGCAGCAAGGAACAGAGCTTTAAGGATGGAATCCCGCGCGCGCTATCTACACAACACCAACCACAAAGCCCAACCGTGCCAAGACGTGCGATTTATCTGCGATCTCAAACTGGTGATCGTTCTCATCGCTAAGTATGTGCTTCCTGCGGGACTCCTGGTGTCGATGCAAGTGCTGCACGTTGACAAGCACGAGGGAGCATGGAGACGGCACCAGAGTACCCATTCACGCTGCCCTAGCCCCATTTGGGTTCTTTAGCGGAGAAAGTAGTACTCTACTAGCCACCTACTTATCAGTCGCAACGTGTGACCTGAGCTCCGATTAGGTTACTGGAGTACCGACCGTTTCTCTCCAATTCAAAAGTTGTTGAACCGCCTGAGAACGATCCGAGAGGCAGATTATGACCATCCTTCTGGGGTCACATTCGACAGGTTTGATTCACAACTTCTTTTGAAGTTGAATACTCGCCAAATGGCATGTCGCCTACGGCATCGAGACTGTATCAAGCAGGCGCAACATCGTTACAATGAGTGGATAATGAAAAAGAAACGGTAGTGTTTACAAAGTCGAGAAAACTCAAGTGTGACTCATTCATTCCTTTTCAGACGCATCTCCCTGACACTTCTTGGTGTTGTCTTGGATGAAGGAGTTCGCCAAGGAGGTACAGCAGCTTGGGAGCGCGCTTACACGGCTTATTTGGAGGCAAAAAGTCCCACTGAGAAATATCAGCTCATAGGAGCAATGGCCTCGACAACGCAACCGGCACTAATTTCACGGTGAGTTTCACAAAGGAAAGGATGGTTGGTCGAAGTGGCCATTTAACAACAGACAAGGTGCATACACAACGTGATGCGGCAGCGTCTTCGGACGCTGATTTCAAATCTGCTTTCCATATCTGCTAAACGATTCTCTGAGAAGAGATATGCAGGAGGTTGTTGTACGGAGCACAATTGAGCTTGGTAACACAAATGAGACGTGAGTCGTCACACGAAGTGCATCGGTGGCCTAGTGGGTAGTGTGCGCGCTCAAGTAATGCGAGTGAGAGGTTCGAATCCCACCAAGAATTCGGCCGATTTTGCATTTCTCAAAAAAGCCTTCCTGCACATCCGGAAAGGAAATTTCTGCGAGGCTAGAGATCCTGGTTCTACCACAATTTTATTTCTGATGTATAGAAGGCGCGGGCGGCCATTACTGGAACACTCCGTAAGGGACTCCTGATTGTTGGTTCGGCGGCATTATTCGTTCCGTCGTGTTGTGAGGCCAAACTGATTCCAGATGGCATGGAAGCCAAAAGTGGATGTCGTGGTTGTTATCAGGACCGTCAGTAACCAACAAGGACTAAGATTTAGCGAGGAACCTCCACTGCTCACAGAGATTTGAATCGGCGATAGTGCCAGCAACCTTTAGGAATTGGCTGCCTATGGTTACCCCACTGTATCGAAAATAGGTCGAAATCTCAAATTTGGTTGAAAACTTGTCTCTAGGGCTAATTTGAGCCCCAGAGCACGAATATCACACTCGTTCGGCGTAAAAACGCTTGCCAAGGACGTTGCAGGTTCCTGCACACCCTGCCCCTCCATGAATCGCCGTACAAGGACGTTTCACGAAATATGACTGCAGTGTTGATTTCCAGGGCACTGAAGCACCTCTAGTTTCAGATTCCAGCCAATTTGGGCAATTTGGAGCACCTCATATACATGCTGGAAATGGGTGTGACCTGGTCAAAAATCCTGCATAACTTTGTCCAGGAAGTCGTTTAGCAGATATGGAGGGCAGATTTGTAATCAGCGTCCAAGGGCCCATCGGGCAGTATACGTCTCATTTCGAATGGCCACTTCGCCCAAACGACATGACCTTTCCTGTCAGATCAGACAGCATGACGATAGCTCAGCGCTCTCTCTAATCCCCCTCTTGCCTTTTTCACCATTATTATTCATTATCTTATTTTATTGCAGCAAATCGTCTGATAAGCATATTCCCACGTTTTCTTCACCTTGTTCCTTAACTGAAAAGAGACTCTTCAAGGTTCTGCGACTGTGCATAGAAGGATCATCATTCCGCCCGAACGTCATTCCCCGCTTGCTCGCCGATTTGACGAAAAATGAGGCAGCCCGATCGCTTACATGGCGTGTTTCTTCGCGTCAAACTACAAAACGAATTGTGTGAGAATGTGCAGTGAGAATTCATTCTGTAAGCGAATTTTGAGAAATAGTCAAGTAAAAAGGATTTAAGCCGAGAAAAATGTCGGTGGTCTCACAGTTTTCTGAGTGGTATTTGGGACCGATCATTGCCGCCCTCAGGTTTCTTCTTTTTATATCTCGGCCACATCTAGCTTCCAAGCCGCTGCTTCACTGCAAGCCTGGCGGATGCTCCTCACTCCCTTCACAATTATACGAGAAAGGAGCGGGGGCATAAATAAAAGGACATTGGCCGAAACCGTCCTGCCTAGCGTCCCTGGCCGGTACAGGCAGCGTGAATCGAGCCTGTCATTTAGAGTCAAAAATACAATTATCCTTTCAGACTCGGCGACGGCTCAAGTCTCCTCATCAACAGTTTACGTGCCATGCTTGACAAACTCAGCACACAAGAGGATCTCGATGAAGTGAAGGCGTTCCTTGCTGACAAACGGGTTTGTTCACGTATTCAAAATCTGGGCAGTGCTCGCTAGGAACCTCACCTCCTGTGCATCCGGCGGTGACAAGAATAACCAAGATCCGTCCACAAATGTTAAAATAGTTGGAAGCGTAATGCATTCGCACAATGACAACTTTCGATTGTCACTCACTATTTGCATGAGTGCCATTGGACAAGCTCCGCGATTTCGAGAGCGTTTCCACCCGTGCATCAGTCTTTGTGATCATCAAGATCGATGGCGATGCGCGCCAAAGAAATAATAAGTGAGGTGCGATCTAGCCAGCCCATTCTTTTAATACCTGATTGTCACCTTTCCTCTCTCCTTATCTCTCTTATCCCTTGCTTTCAATGAATGTCTTCTTGTTATATATTAATTATTGAATAATAATATTGCTTTTTTTGGCGATTAGCAACATTTTGTGTCTGGCGGTGACCGATTAGGAGTGCATGGTGCACGTCCCTTATATTTTTTCTTGGCCAATGGCATTCGCCCTGTGGGGTCCGATCAAAAATCTGTTCTTTTTCATATTGCTCTCAACATTTCAACCTGAGTTGCCAGTACCTTCATTGGTACAGTGGGGTGCCAGAATTCGCGCATCCTACATGTCAATGTAAAGGTTTTCAGACTGTGGGATGTTGAAGAGCGACTGTGATATCCAACCGCCTAATAATTAAAATATAACAAGAAGACATTCATTGAAAGCAAGGGATAAGAGAGATAAGGAGAGAGGAAAGGTGACAATCAGGTATTAAAAGAATGGGCTGGCTAGATCGCACCTCACTTATTATTTCTTTGGCGCGATCGCCATCGATCTTGATGATCACAATACGATCACGGGTGAAAACGCTCTCGAAATCGCGGAGCTTGTCCAATGGCACTCATGCAAATAGTGAGTGACAATCGAAAGTTGTCATTGTGCGAATGCATTACGCTTCCAACTATTTTAACATTTGTGGACGGATCTTGGTTATTCTTGTCACCGCCGGATGCACAGGAGGTGAGGTTCCTAGCGAGCACTGCCCAGATTTTGAATACGTGAACAAACCCGTTTGTCAGCAAGGAACGCCTTCACTTCATCGAGATCCTCTTGTGTGCTGAGTTTGTCAAGCATGGCACGTAAACTGTTGATGAGGAGACTTGAGCCGTCGCCGAGTCTGAAAGGATAATTGTATTTTTGACTCTAAATGACAGGCTCGATTCACGCTGCCTGTACCGGCGAGGACGTAGGCAGAGACGGTCGGCCAATGTCCTTTTATTTATTGGCCCGCTCCCTTTCTCTATGGTTGTGGAAGGGAGATTAGGAGCATCCGCCCAGGACTTGCGTGAAGCGCGCTTGGAAGCTAGATGTGCGAGCATATAAAAGAAGAACCTGCAGGAGCGGACAATGATCGTCCCAAATCCAGTCAGAAACGGAGACCCACTGACATTTTTCTCGGCTTAATTCCTTTTACCTGCTATTTCTTTCAAATTCGCACCAACAGAAATAATTCTCCACTCACATTCTCACAAATTCTTTGTAGTTGACGCGGAAGAAACGCCATGTAAGCGATCGGGCTGCCTCATTTTTCGTCAGATCGGCGAGCAAGCGGGGAATGACGTTCGGCCGGAATGATGATCCTTCTATGCACAGTCGCAGTAACCTTGAAAGAGATCTTTCAGTTAAAGGAACAGTGTGAAGAAAACGTGGGAATATGCTAATCAGACGATTTGCTGCAATAAAATAAGATAATGAATAATAATGGTGAAAAAAAGGCAAGAGGGGGATTAGAGAGAGCGCTGAGCTATCGTCTGGTCTGATCTGAACTCACCGTGAAATTAGTGCCGGTTGCGTTGTCGAGGCCATTGCTCCTATGAGCTGATATTTCTCAG